TTTTGCCTCAGTAGCAACATTAGCTCCCTCCCCAAACATTGCATTTTACACAGGGAAAGTATATTTTACTTGTATTTAGTGCAAAATGCTAAATACTGTACAAGTAAATACATGTTACTTGTATTTGGTGTAAAATACGTATGTATATGTAAAATTTGAGGTTTTTTGCACAAAATGCAAGTTTTCGTACAAAACCAAATTCTGCAGATTTTTGCAAAAAAAGTCTGCAAAATTTGAAAAAAATCATAAAAACTCTTGTAAACTTCTCCATTTGGGAGAAAACTTTTAAACATTTTTCATCTTCCCTGCAAGAATCAAGTAAGTAGTGATTTACATCCCTAGTAACACGAAACAAATGAGGAGGACATCCTTAAGTCAAACGGGATGGCTAATTTGCCATTAATGGCCTTCTGGTGAAATATTCTGGTCCATGAAACATGAAGATTTATCCCAACGGATGGACCTTATAGTGGAGAAAGACCTCACTGTAGAAGATAGATAGTCGCAAAATGGTCCTCAGGCCTAGGACACATTCAAATGTTTTGATGAAATGAGCGAGAAGTTTTCAGAAGGGTTCAGTATTGTCCTTGGTAGTCACCGAATCCCATCAGAAATGAATGTTGAAGGTTCAAAATACGGAGATTTCTTCTAAAATGAAACTATATCAGAATTCTGTGGAAAGCCAGAAGGTTCAAGAGAGCTATCCAAACTCCTCAAGGAACTTTTTGTAGAACTCTTTGTTGGAGGTCTACTCTGAATCCTTACCATCTAGCTTTGAATGGAGGTGGAAACCATGATGCGTTCCTGTTAGAACATTCGTGTGGAAGGAGCCATTAGAAGCAGTGGAAGAGATAACAGGGAGTCTCCTCCTTCCTACCCTCCACCCCGTCCCACCTCAATTGGGTCCTGCCTCCTGCCATGGCCACCCTCCCCAACCTGCCCTGTTCCTTCTACTTTCCCCCTGCCTGCTGCTCCCCTCCCCCGCCCGCCCTGCTCCCTGCTCCCCCGGGAGCACACTCTAATAATGTATTTGATCGACTGGCGGCCGCGGACAAGCGATTATTGTCTTGTAGGGAGTCAAAAGTATTGATCGGGGGAGAAATATGAGCAGCGCGATGGAGCCGGCGCGTCACATACAATAACCACAGCCCCGGGGGAGCGCCCGCGACACTGGCCGTCTCCTCTCATTACCGCCCGCCTCAGCCAGCCACAGGAAGAGGGAGACAGGGACCGGGCAGGGCGACTCGGCTCTTGGCCCTTAATGCTGACCTGCAGCCCTATTGCTATTCCAGCCACAGGTTCCTCGTATAGAGCACCAGGGCTAGCCGAGTGTGGGTGGTTCGTTAATGAACATCCTCTCCGGCTCTCTTTATGTTTCGCAGTACCAACCTGTAGCGTTGTGGTTGGCCCAAGACCAACAGAAAGTGGGACCAGCGCTTGGGGTGGCCTGGCAGCAGTTTGACCTGGAAGTTTGGGACTCTAATTTCAGGTCTGTGGAAGCAAGACACTGGCAGGGTGCCCTCTGCACATGATCAGAGACGCTCCGAAAAGAAGTCGGGGGTTGAAGGAAAGCCTCTCTAGGATCACATTCCCAAACTGGTTCACATCTCAGAGACCTGACCTATAAGTTTAATACTCACGCCGAAGGTCAAGAGGGTCAACCTCGACTGGCATCATAGCTTCTGTTGCAATTCTACCCTGTAACAGCTGCAGACCTTCTTTTTATCAGTTATGCCATGAACTGAACTGAACACAGAGACCCCTTTGCGACAAAGCATACTTTCCACATTCATCCTAGAACTGCCTTTCCAAGAATTAGACCTTGGCCCATTGTATTCTCAAAATGAAGTCAGGTCACTTGGATTGCTTAAGCCTGCAGACCAACATTCTATTAATCTTATTCCACGTAAACACATTTAGGGGGAGAGTCTAGTTCTGCTCTTACCTTTCTGTTTGTTTTTGAGTAGACCTCTCTCCCTGATTGGTTCCAGCAGGGACCCCATTTCACTAAGGTTAGGATGGCCAAAAGCTATATAACACTGTTAATTGTTGTGTGTTCACTATTCACAACAATCCTGTGAAACAGCGATTCCCAATTTGCCGCAGAGACATACAACAATTTACCAACCAGCTCTGGCTCTTACGCTCCTCTGTCTTACTATGCATATACCTAAGTGAACAAAGCTGTCTTATACAGGAGCTATCCTACCAGGTCCTGCCTTCTTTGGCTGGCAGTAGCAACCCAGAGACTTTGAGCATAGTTGGGGTTTTTTGGGCCTTAAGATTGTTTAACTGGAGATGCTTGAGACTGAACCCAGATCTTTTCACTAGCCCAAGACCTTTTCCCTTGGAATGGATCCCAACAATATAGCCAGTGAAAACTCTGTAATCTATAGGTTCCTTTCCTAGGGATCTTTGTTTGCAACATACATGCTGTGATTTTCACTGGGCTATGTCCCACTTGATGCTGGTAAGATGCTAAGAAAGTGTGGATCAGGGCCACCTCTTGTGCTCCTATCCCCAGCCTTTATTATTCCTGTCCCAAGATCCTGAAACCTATAAAAATAGCCACAGTGGTACCCTTGTAACTTGTCTACATCCAGTCGGTCTGAGCCCAAAGAAACATGGATGGTTTTCTGGAGAATATGAATTTTTTACATGGGTGAGAACGAAGGTGGGCTGGAATAAACCATTGTGTCTCTTAATAACTTCTATTTCCTAGTGTTGGTTATGAGCATGGGTAAGCAGAGCGAGTGCTTTTAATTATTTCTGTATGTGAGAGATTGCTTTCCCCATGTTTTACGGGCCAACAAGCAGTGATGCCATGGTGAAATCGGGCCTCCCAGTTACCCATCCCATGGACCACCATGAGGTGTAACTGGGAGGAATGTACATCACTGGCAGGGGGCATGGGCCATCCAGCGCCTGTTCTATAGCGACCCTCTAGGAGAAGCCATGTACAACTTCGTTGCTTCCATCAGACTTGTGACATTATGTGGGTTGTTCGTGAATGTTCTGAAGGACTGGTCTCAAGTCTAACAACAGAAACCTCTGGCTGCTTGTATTCGTGGTTGTCAAGTATGCACATGTGATGCTGTGCTGAGACCTCTATGTTTGCATGTTCATATGGGTACATGGGGGTGTATGTGCAGGTTGAGGATCAACTTGACAGCTATTTGGGCAAGAATCGTCTGGTACAAGTGTTGAGTTGAGACTGCGGTGGACTGCATCGCTACAGGTTGAGTGTGGTTGAGTGTGAGAATTGGCAGTGTTCTGCTTCCACCCAGTGGCACATGGACAAAAATGCAGGCTCTCTTGCTAAAATCCAGCAGCGCTCTGTTGCTGAGATCTTCTAGAATATGAAACATGATTTCCTTCAGTGACATCTCCAAGGGGTCCAGGTGGCATCTTTTCCGACTGGCACCCCTTCTGTGCTTTCCCATTGCTTCTTGTGCCTTTTTTTTTAAAACCACACTCACACAAACATAGACAAAAGGGAGGGAGGGACAGAATATCTGCAAATAGCTTGTTGATTGCCATTTGGAAACTTCCACAGTCTTCTTAAAAGCTTTTAAATCTTCACCCTCATGAAGGCTTAGCTTCACAATGCTTCAGATACTGGTGTTCAGCTCTTTATTATGTAATAAAAACTGTTTCGGAGCATGACCTGAGAACATTCTCTCTATTCTCAGTAGGCAGGAGCTAGGCACATGGTGTTTGGAGTCTGGGGATAGCTTTCCGAGTTTGTTGACCTGCAATCGTAGAAACAAAGGGTGTTTCAAGTCTGTTGAGGAATAACTAGTTCCACGTTAAGTATGCGACTCTCAATCCAAACAAAACTGACTCTGTATACTGGACTACTTTGGACTACAAACCCCGGAATTCCCCTGGAATGAGACTGTTGCATGCAACTGAGGGTCCTCTTACACAACGATTGGTATATCATTAGAAGGAGAGATCACTTAAGAGGTAAATGGCATGTTTATAAACTTGCCTAACTCTTCATATTGTGAATAAGCTTGCCTTGTTTTGTGATTGGTTAAGGGAGGTCATCATGGGCTTCCTTGACAAGTCTGATTGCTCAGACATGGTGCTTTGAAGGAATTGTTGGTCTGGGGGGAAAAGAAATATGCATTCTGCTCCATAGTTCTGACTTATACAACTGGGTTATTGTGCCTGTGCCAGACCCTCCTTTAGAACATTCCAAAGCTGAGCAATTTAGGCAGGAACCCAGACCATACCATGCATGTTTAGCCATGCCTTATAACGAGTTTTTCACTTCCTTTTCGTCCACTACTATTACGTTTCTTTTTAAGAGCTGGGGGACCCTAGGAAGCTATCTGTGTCTTTTGGATGTCTTCATTCCATCTCACTGTCTTAGTAGAAAGCGAATCGAAAAGGGACTCGCTTTACCAGTCCTCGACAAGTTACTGTTCTGAACTACAACCCCCAGCATTGCCCAGTCAGCAGTGACTGGAATACTACACGTCAGATGTGTAGTGCAAAGAAATAACTTTTCCAAGCTCTGTATGTTACACACTGGGGGCCCTAGGTGGCTGTCCAGGACAGCATTTAGCCTGCAATATACAAAGATGCTTTTGAGGTTCCCAATCCCACATGGGCACATGTGCTCCATTTGCTCGAGGGCAACATGGAATAAGGACCAGAGGTGGCCATGTCAGCACCAGAAAGCCATGGGTTCCAACTAGCCCCCATGAAGCCACATTTTCAAGGATCCTTGCTTAAACCACAGTCCCTGTGCCACATGCGCATGTGTTTTGTTGTGTGCCAGGCCTTGCAGCGTTCTTCACTCCCCCCCTTCACACCCAGCCATGGCTTCTTCCTCCCAGCTGCTTCCTGCCACATTCACTGTTCTTGCTTCTCAAGCACCAAGGGACTCCCCCAGTCCTGCCCCTGCACAACAAGGCCCTTCCGTGTCCCGCCATTCGTTGTTCCCCTCCCTGAGACACACAACAAGGCCCTTCCGTGTCCCGCCATTTGTTCCCCTCCCTGAGACGGGCCGTGTCTGTCGGTAGCGGGCAGAGCCTCCCAATGTCCTCTTTCTCACACCAGAAGAATCGTAGCCATGGTGAACTCAGGACTGTGGGCAGCAGGTAAGTAACCCCGGGCGTGAGCAAGCTGTTCGCTTTCTTCCCTTCTGCTGCTTTTTCACCAACGGACCCCTTGCCGTTCTTTCCTCCGGGAGATTCCTTTTGTGCCAGAGCGAAACCACGGAGAGACAGCACCAACCATGGGGTGTGCATGCTCATCTCACAGTGGGTTCTGTTTTGAATGTCTTCGTGGTGTGTCAGCCTTCGGATGGTCTCCGAATGGTGGCACCGAAGCTGCCATTCATTTGCCACAAGCGATGGTACCTGGGTCATACCTGGCAAGCTTTTGTCTGCCTCTAGTCCTGCCTTGTGTAGAGTCCTGTGCAAAAGGAGAGGAGGGCACAGTGCCAGGAGGGAGATGCCAGTAGGCTCAAAGTCAAGAGTGAGAGATAGCCAGCAGACGTTCGGTGGCACCTAAGGATTCGTATGAGTTATGGAAGGGAGGGACGACATGGCTTTTTCCTGGCAAAATTCTGGCACAGGAAGGCTGCCTATCAGGCAGAAATGCAACAGGGCAGCTCTCCCACCTTCCCTGTCAATCAGGTAAGGAGAAACCGTACCTTTTGAATTTCTGCATGTCATCCAGCTGTAAAAAATTCGCAGAAATTCTTGTTTGAAAAAAAAGGGAGTACAGTAGCATAGCCTAGGTTGCTAAATTTTCAGAAAAAGTGGACTTGATTGACGAAAACTCACATTAAAATATAATAGTCTTTAAGGTGTCATAAAGTTTTGGGGTTTTTAAAATTTTTAATTGTTCTTTTTTTCTCTCCTTTGAATTTTGCCTGATAAATAGCCTCCAATTTTCCACTAGACACGATAGCTCGATCTGCAATTGTGTGTGTGTTTTTTTTAAAAATCTTCTTGCTGTGAAATGTTTTACCTGCGGATTTCTGCAGGTAAAGTTTAAAGACACAGGAGCCAGGACAGGCTTCGGATGCTTTACGATCCTGGCTAATGGGAGGTGCTGCAGGGGAAAAAATGTTACCTGCAGGATGATCAGGCACAGGTGAAGACAGAGTGCCTATACTTTTTAATAATTGCTTGGAAGAGAGTAATTGGCAGGCACAGTTTGGCATGCAAAAATCTTTTCCCCTCCCCAGTCCGCTGGTTTGAAACTGTTAAAAGGCATAGGAGCCTTATTTCTGGTTGCAACTGGATGTCCCAGTTCCTTTGAACATAACTTTCTTATGTGTCCCTTTGTGAGGAAGAAAAAGGCTGAAGAAGAAGAAGAAGAAAAGCTGGCTGCAGAGAGGGGAGGAGTCTTGCCCGGAGCTACCAAATGGTTTCTGGGCTTCTGTTTTTAGCTGGGCTTTCAGTAAATTGGAGGCTGTTTTTAAAATATCTAAAAATGTGAAAGGGAAGCAGAAGTGAAAGCCGGCAAAGGGTGGCCAGCCATTTGGAGGGTGTGTTGGAGTGGGGGGGGGGGGGAGAGGCTGGAAAAGCAGCTTCTCCTGGACTTAGTGAAGAGAAAATTTCTGCCAGCTTTTCCAACAAGGAAAGGCATCCCAGGAATAGCAGGGATGGTGATCAATGGGCCCAGCTCGATCTGTGGGCATCTGGACTTGGCAATACACCCTTCTGACTCCTTTGTCTTGATAGCACTTGCTGTAGGAACATTTGCAAAGTCAAGTGTAGGGAGAGGCTGATAATTTTGTATGTCAGGCTACTGTTGAAACCAATTGAGCAGAGCAGCCATGGAAGGAGAATATGAGGTCCCAAACTCTTTTAAATCCGTGGTTTGAGCCTTTCCAGACTCAGGACCTGGGTGCATTCGATTTTAAATCAAATTGATTTCAAATAAAGATTGAAATCACAATTTGATTTTTTTTAACAAATCAGACATTTTTGATGATTAAAATTAAAATTATGATTCAGATCAATTTGATTAAAAAACATCACAATTTGATTTTTTTTAACAAATCAGACATTTTTGATGATTTAAATTAAAAATTCAAATTATGATTCAGATCAATTTGATTTAAAAAAAAACAACCATTGATTTTTATCCACCCTGCACAGGATGCCTGATTTTCAATTCAATAGCATGTTTTGCAGCTTCTCAAATTGCAAATTAGCTTGCTTTGGCTTGCGGGTCGCTCACTGGGAGACTAAACACGGAGTGCTGTTTGCACGTTGGTTGTGTGGAACACGGCAACAATATAGTAACACTGTATCTCCTACTTGGGAAACTAGGGTATTAAGATCTGTTTCAGCTCTCAGTATGTATGTGTTTCCAGGCTCCCTCCTCCCCTTAAAAATACTGGAAACAAAAAAATGAGCAGTGAAAGTGATCTGATCCATCTGAGTTTTAGTCAGGTTTCAATTCACAGGAGCCCCAACCTCTTTTCTTTCTTTCTTTCTTTCTTTCTTTCTTTCTTTCTTTCTTTCTTTCTTTCTTTCTTTCTTTCTTTCTTTCTTTCTTTCTTTCGTTTGTTTGTTTGTTTGTTTGTTTGTTTGTTCGTTCTTTCGTTCTTTCTTTCTTTCTTTCTTTCTTTCTTTCTTTCTTTCTTTCTTTCTTTCTTTCTTTCTTTCTTTCAGCTGAGGTGCCTTTCAGGGTCAATTCATCACAATATGTTTTAATAAAAACCAAACACAGTATAATAAATACTCCTGTTTAACCTTAATACTCTATAAAATAATACTGGTGTTAACAATAAGATTGTTATAAAAACAGCAGTATTAATAATGACATACAGCAACAGAATAATAAGAAACCCAGCAAAAAATGATCTAAAATGTTTTCATACCCAAACTCATAGCATGGTGTGTGTGTATATATATATGCACACTCACACCATGCTATGAGTTTGGGTATGAAAACATTTTAGATCTTGAGACTTTAAAGCCTGCTTAGAGGTATGTCATGTTGCAGCCATAGGCACGTCAGTTGGACTGGGGCTACCCATGAAAAGGTCCCATCCCTTGTACCTGCCAGCATCACGGATCCCAGAAGAAACTCATAAGCAAGGCCTCTAAAACTAATCTTATAGCATGGGACAGATTCTTATGGATCGAGGCTGGCTGACTTGCTGCGGAGGGTGTTCTTCTGGTGTCCTGCTGCTCTTATTTAAAAGGTGCATCGCAGCTCCTGGAGGCTCCAGGAACAGCAACACGCCATTTTATTAACTGAGTGAATTTCTGGGCATCAGGAGCGGACCACAAAGGAACCTCAGAATTTGCATGCAGCCTCCAGTTGCCTTTTGCCAGCCACCATTATTGGCCGTCTTTCCTATAGCCTGGCCCCACGTTGACGTCCCACAGTCTGCAGCACCTTCAGAAGTGTATATTTGCCCTTAGCACTGTGTCCAGAGGTCCACTGGCACCTAATGTCACAGTCTCGGTGCCATGTGTTGTGACTGTCCGGTCCTTGTCTTTGCTGGGCGAGGCTGATGGGAGTGGCACGTTTTGCTTATTTTAGATCATGCTTGAGTGCTGCGGGTAAGGGAGACCCTTGTTCCCTTCAAGTCAGGCTGGGAAGAATCAGATTGTGACCTGGAGACTTTACCTTTATTTTTGATCAATTTAGGAAGACGATGAAATCTCTGTCGCTGAGCCTCTTGCCCCATCTCTTACCACATCTTCCTGATGGCGAGAGTAACATGTTAGTTTATCTGACAGCAGAGCTGTATGAAGGGCCAACAGTGAGACATGAGGAGGACAGGAGATCCAGCTGAAATCTGTGCTGCTGGATTACATTGGTTAAAAACAATCTCAAGGTTTTTTTGACAAGGGTTTGGTTGACATTGCTAGTGAGGAGAATAGAAGAGATCAAGGCACATTCTGCAAACTGTTCTAATAAGCAACGTATTTTGACACCTGTCTGTTATTTGCTTCATGCATGTGCAGATGTAACCTGAATATTTTACATATGCAGCTACTACTACTGTTCGCATGGCTATTTTGATCTTAGTGTCAGCTGCCTGTTAGGTCTTGCACAGAGCTTCACTGGACACACAAAACATCAGTACATCAAACATTTTCCTCACCTGCCAAAACAATAGCTTCACCTGTTTGATTTGTTTTCTTTTGCAATTCTGTAAAAGCAGCTCGTCACAGAACGCAACTGCTGTCAATCTTATTGCTATTTGTAGGACAACAAGTGACGGGATAATATTTTTAAGGTATGCCACTTTTTCTCCTTTTGACGAGGTTCCTGCGTTTGCGTTTATTCTGTAATACTGGCGTTTAGAACTGCATGGCAGACAAAAATGTAGTATGAAATGTTTTTTTTTTTCCTATCAAGATATCTATACCAGAGAATGTTAAATTTCTGGCTCCTGCTGAAAGACGGCTAGGAAACACAGGTCCTGGACAATGTTTGATAATTCATTAAAAAAAAAATTAAAATCCAGTGCCTTTGAGGATTTCCTGAATTAACTGAGATTTTATTGTGGACGAAAAAGTCCATTGGTGAATTTCACTTGAAAATTGCCCTGCTCTGTTTCTGATATTACATTCACAATATTCGCAAGTGATATATTGAAGCTCTAAGAGGTGTTTTTAGTATCACTCGTGAAAATTCCCTTTTAGTTTTCATTTTTTTTCAAAACCACTGTGACTGCCTTTTTCTCACACGTATCTTCTGCCTCCGTTATCTTTGATCAGAGATTATAGAAATATCAGATTTTTTTTCCCACCTGTAATCATCCCCGTGATCACACCTTTATGGTGGGGGGCGCTCTGAGCTAAGGGTGCTACCTCATGATCAGGGTGTTTGACACGGGCTTGCCATCTTTCTGTCACCGATGGTGTTACTTCTGTGTCTTTAACTGTGACCTGACAGTCAAAATGAAGCAGGCAAACCTTCCCTATCACTTCATGGCTTTACAAGGAATAAAAAACATGTTGCCCTCTTGCTATCTCCTTGTCATATCTGGTTAGAAAAGTGACAAAACTAATTGAAGGCACTCCTTAAGCCCATATTGCCAATTGCAAACTCAGATTGCCTTGCCATGGTCCTTATGTAGCCAAAATAGCATCATCCATTCAAACCCACGTAGGGC